GGTCATTGGTGTTATTTTTGTATTGGTGTTTGTCTAATAACTGCTTGATCTTTGAGTCGTAATCGTTGACGTCTAAGATGACTATACTGTTTCCTTTGTCTGCTGGTAGAATCTTGATAGTGTCATCCCATCTTAGATGGTTCAGTGCATTGTATTCCTGTTTGGTGATGTTAGGTTTTGGTTTCCTGAGGATGGTGTAAGTTTGATGTCGGGATTGCTCAGCCATGGGTTTCGGAAGGTTTTGTCGTCCTCTACATTTGTAGATTTCTACAACAGGCAGTTGCTGTCCATTTGAAACTTAGGTTCATTATGAATACTCTGCCTAAACAATCTATCAAAGATTATCTCACTATGATTTTAATCCATTTATCCTGATGCATTATGAGCCCTTTATTTTCTCTGTTCGGTCTTTTCTTTTTTGTAAGGATAGTCTTATGTACCTAATAAGACCATTTGTTAATGTTGTTAGTTTCTGTGGTACAAATGTCAATTTAATTTTAGCGTACAATAAGGGAAGTTTTTTCCTTCAACAGTTTCTTTTATGAAGATATGTGCAAAATCATGAAAGATGAGTATGCTGCTTCTGAAAGCTGTGAAAATAAAATTATTTATAGATCTGATCAGTCACACGAGTGCTTTTCTTTTGTTTGATTTCTTTTCACAGTTTATCTTCCAGCTGATTGAATCAGTCACTAGATTATGAACGCTACAAGCTTAAATCCCTCATCTCTCTAATTCTCGTTTTTTTTATGTAGTTTAACACCTTTTATGATCATAGGAAAACTGTGCAACAGTTTGAAATGTAAGGAGGTAATATGGGTAGTGAAGTAATGTCATTTTGTTTTTGTTTCAGAGAAACTGACTGGCCATAAAAACAACAATCATGACGTAACACCACCAGTTCCACAGCAGCTGTGGTCTGAGAAAACAAGTGCTAGTATTCGACGTCAGAATACACCTGATGAGCCTCAGGTGTCTCAAAGTTACAGTACTCAGGTGTGGCATTACTTGATATTTGTAAACCAAAAATCTTGTAGGACTATTATTGGAGTCAAACTCTACATGAATAAATTTGCATCTTTTCAAAGTTGTTCAAGAGCTAAAGCAACACATTTTATAGAAACAGAGTTATTAAAACATATTTCAACTTAACATCAGTATCTCAGACTTTTTACATGTTCAAAATTGGCTCTTTATTAGCAGTATTGATTTCTCCATATGAATGTATATTTTAATTTCAGTACAACAGATGTTCTCATTAAAGGTATTTTTTCCTAACATTAATTCTAAATTAGTTTTTTTCAATTGTATTTTTCATTTTGCTAATCCAATTTGTGAACATTTCTTCATACACGTATTTTAGTTTAGAAAATAATGCTTTTTCTTTCTGAGCAAGAAAAAAAATCCTTGTCTTATGCATTCTTAATCAGGGTCAGGGCATCCTTATGAGTGATGTCAAACTCAGCTTTATTAACTTACTGTTTCAATTATCTTTTTTTTTTTAAGTATCTTTAGCTTTGCCTATTTTTCAAAAAGCTTCTCCATTTTGATTATGGTTATTACAATCTTTTAACTTTTAGAAACTGTCTTCTTTAATGTTTTGTGCTTGTAGAAAAACACAAACAGCACTTGCCTATTTGTTTCCTGTCAGCTCAATTTTTTTGAACCAAGCAGCCAAAGTCTAATCTTATTTCTTGTTGCAGTATCCACTTGCAATGATAACACTGAAATGATGCAGAAAAATCTGCTTCCAAAACATATTTACCTCTGCTGATACTATAACTATTTCTCGATCTCCAGGGTTTCCACTCTTTGCCCATCTAAGCATTGAAAATGCTTGCTCCAGTCTTTTCTACCCCACTCAAATGCCCTTGGCAATTTCTAATTTACAAATTTCTCCACCAACTTCAGGATAATATAATCACTTTTTTCTCAACAAAGCATTCAGCACGGGTTTCTATAAACAGAAGTATTGTGATTACTTACAATTTACAGTGTGACTTTGAATGTGGTTGACATTACTACAGTTATATCTTCGTTTATATTTATAAATTATTTTAACAAAAAAAACAAAAAAATATGTACCGACGGGTATGACTTCCAGAGTTAATGTTTCTACTACTGAGGCCAACCAGATCTCTTCTCTTCCACCTCTGCTATCTGGTGTTTGTCAACAGCCAGGGGAGGGGGCACTCTCAGTCGAAGCTGTCCTTGATATAATCCGTAGCAAGATGAAGACATATATGTGGACCGAGGGTGTCTCTTCGGGGGGTTCTGAGGTGGCTTTTGTAAATGACCCAGGACCAACTGGGGAGAAGTTAGACTCACTTTTTCTGGCTCCTTCTTTTACTAGGTCGGCCTCAACAGAGGATCACCTTGATCAGCCACCTCCAGCCCCTTTTCTTCAGTTGGTTTCTCGGGTTTGTGAGGTTTTGGGGTCTCTCCTATTGCATTTGACTACTCCTTCCTCATTGGCAGAAAGGATGGCAAGTGACTACTTTGGTTTTCCTCTTTCTCCTGATATTGCTGTTCATGCTGGGAGATTTTCTGCTCAGTTACATGATGGGATAGCTATGCTTTTTCTCCCATGTTTATTGGAACAGCATGCTTTGGCTTATCACCACCAGGAGGAGGTATATTTAGATTCTCAATGGAGGGACCTCCTTTCGGACCTGTGGGGGTCTAGATTGGAACCTGTGATCACTTTAAACAGAGCACAGTTTTCTTGGATTTGTCTTACTCTCACGACTGCCATAAGGTATTTATGTTTGATCCAACTTTTATTTGAAGCCTATCATATTTATCTTCAATCCAATTTTTTTCTTAAGCCTATCAACAAGTTGAGGATTTTACTGATGCCTACCACAGTCAGATTGTCTTCTTTAGTTCTTTCTCTGGTTTCCTGGCTGGTTTGTTGTTGGGATTTATTGAGTAGAGATACTTTGTTAGAAAGTATTTTGTTTACCATTTTCTGCCCTCAGGGAGTTAGGGGAAGCTCCTTTTCTCCATCACATCTTGTTTGCTGGAGTTTCAGAGATATTAGAATCACAAATTGATTCTGCTGGTTTACATTTTTCTTTATTTTCATTGTCTTTCTTGTGCTAATTTGGGAGTGTCGGCTCATAGTGTTTCCTGTCATCCCCTCCTTCGGCTTCCAGGTATATTGGTTCCCATTATATAGTCCATCCTTATTCTCAAGGGTCTTTGGCTCGAGCGAACTGTCGACAACAGCATTGGTGACTATCCCATGGGCATGGAAGCACAATTACATCACTTTCTGGACATCTGGAGTTCTTTCACCAGGGATCCATGGGTACTCCATCTTCTGGTTTCAGGGTTGGTCATTCAATTTACATCCCCTCCACCATTATCTGCACAACTGGTTGTTTTTTCACCTCCAACAGATTCACAGCGAGTGGAGCTTCGTTCCCAGGCCATAAGAGAGTTGTTAATCAAAAGGGCAGTAGAGAGGGTCGATCCCATTCTTCCGGGATTTTATTCCCATTTATTCATTGTACCCAAAAAGACAGGAGATTGACGTCCAATCATAAATCTGTCTCAACTCAACCAATTTTTAGATCCTCCTCACTTTACAATGGCATCTTTTCTCAACCTACGATGACACTTTGTGCCAGGGCTCTGGATAACCAAGTTCAATGTTACTGATGCTGGCCTATACTGATGATTACTCATATTCTGTTCCACTTTTGATATAGGAACTGAGTTCCAGGTGAAGAGTGGTTCCTCCACTCTTCTTGTACCATCTTTATCTTGGTACACTCCTGTTCTATATAGACGCATTCTGTAAGGTTCATGCCTGCATTGGCCCTTCCACCTTCTCAGTGTGGGATTCTAGCTATAGTGTCAGCAGAGGTAAGTGTGTTTTGGAAGTTCACATTTGTTTAAACTGAAAATCCATTTTCAATAGTACTTACCTCAGCTGATGCTCTCCCACCCTACTTTCCCACTAAAAGCCAGTTTATGTCTCGAAAAAGTGATTACATTATCTGAATGAGGTGCTTATACATAGTACCTAGATAGAGGGCACAGTGAAGTTGGTGGAGAATTTTGCAAATTAGAATTTACCAAGGGCATTCGAGTGGGGTATAAAAGACTGGAGCAAGTGTTTTCAATTCTTAGATGGGCAAAGAGTGGAAACCCTGGAGATTGAGAAGTAGCTATAGTATCAGAGGAGGTAAATATTATTGGAAATACATTTTCAGTTTAGGAAAATGTTAACTTAAGTGCCTATATATATTCCAGATTGTAATATTGATTGTTTTGAATTATTTTACACATTTTTATTTTGTTTTTGGCTCCAGGCAGGCTTAATTCTTCTTAACGTCTCTAATTCTATCCAGATTATTAGTTCTTTTCCCAAAATTAAGTTCATTTGTTTTTACCAATAATTTTGACTGAGATTTGTAGTTACGTCCCTTCTCAGCAATTCCTTCTTATGAGACCTTTATGTAATCTTGTAATCTGTGTGTGGTTGTAGTTGGAAATATTTCATTTTCCACATTTGTCATCCATATGGTTACCCTTATTGAATTAACTTAATCAGCTTTACAGAGGATTTATTTGTCTGTTGGAAGTGACTTGCAAAAAACTACTTCACATCTTGTCAGTTTCAGCATGCTACTCATTCTTTTATTGTGTAAACTTTATGTGGTGGGTTATGGATGACATAGTCTGGCTTTTAAACCACCATATGTATTTGTCATGTTATAAGCCTTTTTATCCCATTTGTCATGAAATCATTTAACTCCCATTTTGCCCCATGTTTCATGAACATTAAATTTCTGGATAATCTATATATTTCAAAGTATAAATGTAAGGTAACATTTTAAAAAGTGAAATTAATTTCAAATAGATAATTACCTTATTTGTATTCATCTTCTTTCCCATCTTACGTTTGTCTTATTTCTCAATTTAAATGATAATTTTAGATGTTGATTTAAGCTAGTCTCTTTCTGAGCATTTGCAATTACATGACAGAAAACTATTGGATTGATTTTATCTTTTGAATCAAAATTTGGTTGTGACATTGCTGTTAAAAATATTGGAGAAAGCTATTATTTATATACAGGTAAGTTTTATTTTAAAATAATTTTACTTTAAAAATTTTATTTAGAAAACAATTGTAAGGATAACTGATACTGTGTCACTGTCTGTATTATCCTCTCTTTTACAGGATGAACGTCGGAAGCAAACACCTGAAAAACCATTACTGCTTAGTGCAACCAAACATAAGGTTAGGATTTTCAAAAATATTTTTATGTGAATGTAGTTATTCTGCATTTCTTAAAGTTGCATAATCTCTACAAATCTAGGAAAGATCTTGCTTTGTTTGTGATATAAATAGACTACACAAGAATAGTAACTTAGAAACATATTAAAATTTTTACTTGAATTATACACTTATTTTACAAATTTTATTTTGAAAAAAAGCTGAAAGGATAACTGTGTCACTGTCTGTATTATTCTCTCTTTTACAGGATGAACTTCGGATACAAACCCCAGACAAACCATTAATGCTTAGTGCAACCAAACATAAGGTTAGAATTTTCAAAAATATTTTAATATTAATGTAGTTACACTACATTTCTCAAATTTGCATAATCTCTTTGTAATTCTAGGAAAGATCTTGTTCCAAAACATTCATACCTCCGCTCCCATTTATAGCTATTACCCGATCCCCAGGGTTTCGTCTTTGCACATCTAAGCATTGGCCTGATTTTTTCTCACTTGCTCCAGTCTTTTATACCTAGTCAGTTGCCCTTGGTGATATATATATCTTGTGATACTCTCCACCTACGTCAGTGCGCCCTCTATCCTGGTACTGTATTAAGTACCTCATTCAGATAATTTTATCACTTTTTCTTGTCAAAGCATCACCAAGACGTTCCCAGTATTACGATTGTTCCTGTGATACTTTGAACATTATTACGCTATCTAATTGATTTCATAACAACAACAATAATAATAATAATCTAAAAAAAATTTCTTTTCAGATTGGCAAGCCGATTATGGTATGAATTCCCAGATTATTATTTCCGAAACGGAGACATATTAGGTCTCTCCTCTCCCACCTCTGATACCTAGCATTGCACAACAATCAGGGGTGTCACTCTTGGTTGAGACTGTCATTGATCTTATATGCAGTGAGATGGAGACATGTATTTGGATTTGTGGTGGTCCTCTGGGGGGGGGGGGCTCTGAGGCTGCATTTGAGGACAATCCTCGACATTTTGAATTCGCTTTTCCTGTGCCTTCTGTTAATCTGTTGGATTTTCAACTCCCTGTGGGTCAGTGGTAAGGTTAAGGATTTACAGCATTGGGTTCGGGGGTTTAATTCTTTGGGGTAGATGCAGCAGATGGCCCGCAGTTGCTTTCTCTTACAAAACAACTTTTACCTCACAATATGCTGTTCCAATCAATGATAATCACTACAGTCTTTAAATGACCTATGAAAAACGAAAAGGAGGCTACTTTGGGATAAGCTGCCTTTGATTTGTTTTTTTTCTGTTAGTTCTTTGAGTGTGTAATGCTTTGGGCTTTTTCCTGGTTGCTTTTGAGCCTGCAACTTAATTTTTCTCCATACACAGAAATTATGGTTCATGCTGGAAGGTTTACTTCTTATTAAAAGAAGGAAGAGTTAGACCTTATCTGACACATTGTCGGAACTAAGTAATTTCGCCTACTATCACCAAATAATTTCTGCTCCTCAAATTTTGGGGTTCTCAGGTGGAGTTTGTAGTTCATTTATATAGGTCTACTATGTTCCCTGATGGGACAGAGTAAGTCTACAGGATTACAATTCATCTTCAGCAATTTATTTACTTTCAAATCTCTTTGCTAGAAGACTCAGGATCACTGGTTTAGTGAGGACGAGCTGGATCCATTGTTAACATGCACATTGGTTCAATTTTCGAGTTCTACATTCCTCCCTGTTGTTGTTGGAGTCTAAGTTCATCAGCTCCTACACGGGGTCATAGTTCCTTCCCTATTCGTGAGTGCCAATCTTTGACATCAGCTCCTTGGTACATTGGTACTCAGAATTGATTCCGTCTATATTCAAGGATTGCCAGCAGAATCAATGATTATTGTATAACTTCAGGTGCTGTAAGGGCTCAGTTTCAAGATTTCTGAATGTATAGTAATCTTACCCATTGGTCCAGATGCTCTGCAGGTCCTTGGGTCACAATTAGTCATTCAGTTCACATCTTCTCTACTATTATCCACCCAACCTGTAGTGTTTCCATCTCCCACAGTTCATTGGGACTTGGAACTTAGTTCTAGGGTTATCTGAGTCTGGTTGGTCTGAGGGTAGTGAGATTGTCAGGCTAGTTTTATTCCTGTTCGTTGTTGGGCCTATTAAGATAGGAGATTGGTGTCCAGTCATCAATCTTTCTTGTCTATATCAATGCCTAGATTCTCCAATGTTCATATGTTAATACTTCTTCAATCTGGGATTATAGGTGTCCAACTTGGTTGTAGTTGGCTTCTATCTGCACTTTGCCTTAGCAGTGTAGTTCCACCACTATTGGTGTGATGCACAAAGGTCAGGTACTTCAGTTCTGGGTTTGTTTCATTCGGCCTCACATAGGCTTAACATGGGTTCTACTATATTGTATAAGTTTTCCTGTCCCTTTCATTCCAGCGAACTGTGCACACACCATTCCATGGATAACTGGTTACTGCTGAAATTGGTAGATCATCACATTCTGATTCTGCTTTCAGATACAACTCAGGCACGCTTCTCTTTCAGGACTGTAACTTCTAATTAAGCTCCAATTCAACATGTCATCAGTCTGGGTATTTTTTATTTTTCATCTCTTCTCTCAGTCAGGCTCAGCTTTATCCCATCCTGCTAAAGGCTATAGAATAGGAAGCCAAACTCTTACTCACCTCTCCTTTTCCCACTGCATGGATGGTTCTTTCTTTTCTGGGAGTGTGGGGATCACTCAAATCCTTCGTGCCTATGGGATGAGAACAAAAACGATCCTTTTATTGGTCTTTAAGCGACCAGAGATCATATACATCTATTTCGTGGTTTCCACAGTTTCCTTATTCGAGATTATTCTTTGATCTCAAGGGGTTCTTAAGTTGGGACGCTATTACAATTTGGGTTCCTCTACTGCCATCTCATCAGGCTACATTTTTTTCATGAATGCCTTGCTTCAGGGATGAGGTACATATACCACCAGTCAGGAATTCCAGAGTCTAAGCATGGATGACGAGGATTCCCAACACAATATTTTCGTCCTTCTTGCTTTTCAACAGGCAAGGTCTCATGGCATGGGTTTCTTAAAGGGTAAATTATCAGGCTTCTCTCTTACTTTTCTATGGTGGTGTCTCATGTTTCTTAGGAAGGAGGCATGTGTTTTAGTGCTCCTTATTTTCGAATTTTGGACTTCCTTTCTTGGGACTAGTCTTATTTTATCACCTTTCTAGCTTGCTATGTTCCTCAGGTGATGCATGTGGTAACAGGTCAGTTGTCTCATTGTAAACAGATTCTCCTGACAGAAAAGATGTTGCATTGCAAGGTTCAATTAGATTACCTCTCATTTTGCAACTCTAATTGGTGGGTTGGCCTCTCATTGGATCACCCAACTAGTGGAAATTTGGTCTCCAGTACCTCATCATTGGGCCTTGGCACTATTGCTTTCCATTTGCTCTCCACTTCATATGTTACTCAAGGTACAAAATTTGATTTATTCCAACCCATTGTCAGATCCTGTTGATCACAGTAGATTTGTGGCTTCTGTTGTCCCTTCCGATACGTCAAATTCTTCCACTTTTTTTCAGAATCGAATATGGTGCACCCAGCTATTCAGAACCTCAAGTGCCTGGCGTATAGGTTATGCTGTCTTTCACATGGCATTGGGGTTTAATTTCTATAGTTGACATGTATCTGGCTCAGTTTCTGCTTAGTCCAAAAGTTACTTTTCTCAAAGGTAATGACATGCATATAAGCAATATTGTATTGAGAGGACGTTGAACCCTTTTCAATCACTGGTGTCAACCATAACCCGTTTTTTTTACTTGGCTCTATAAAAGAGGTTTTTGCATCTTCCACAGTTGCCATTGTTTACGATGGCTTTATTGACCACCATTCAGTTATCGCAACTACATATTTTTGAGTCCCCAGTATGCTCCAGATTTTTGTAGCTGCTGACCTATGGACATCACCAGTCTGAGTGATTTGTGCTGTTTGTCCACAAACCATTTTTCATTCTCTCTATGTCCTCAATCCAGTTCTTCTTACCCAACATATTTTCAGACAAGAAAGAGGTTCAATCCTTTTCTGTGATTCATCTGCTCACTCTTTCTCTCTGTGTCCAATCAGATTTTGATATTGGTCATGTTCAATGAGGGTCTTGAAGGACTTGTTGCCTGCATTTATCCATTTAGAGATACTAGACAACATTTTATTCTGGGCTTTCTTTGAAGGCAATGTATCTTCTGTGCATTACATCTAATCAGAATTCTCTTTAGTATCTCCTTAGCAGCCCAGTCAAATTGCTTGCTGGAGGTCACTGTGCAGACTGATATGTGGACCTCCCCCAATACCTTTATCTCACAATATTCATCTGATCTGGTAGTTTCTTCATCTGAGGGTTTTTGCCTACCCTCTGTAGTTATCATAACTATTTCTGCTAGATTAGTCAGAGAGGTATTTTATTTCTACCTTTCAAGGTTCCTTACCTTGTTTTCGCAGGATCTTGTTCTGTAGTAGGTGTTGCCCAGACAGGTGTGCTTTTATTAAAGCAATTCTGCACTAGGAACTACTATTTCACTATAATTACTACCAGTAGCAATAGGCTCTGTAAAAATGAGGTATTCCATAAGACCACCTAGGAACTCACCAGGTGGTATTATCTTATTATGCTGGACTGCCACTATCATGATTAAAGCTAAAGGGGATCCTGCCCATCCCTGTCGATCATTAGATTGAATAAATCAGGGTTGGTTTGCTTTTAAATATTTCGGGAACTTGGTTCACCTATTGCACTGTTTCCAGCACTGTTCCTCAGGGCTCCCCAATGTGCATTACTTCTCAGATTCCACTTGTGGAGCTAGGGAGTCCTTACCACACTTGGTTTCCAGTCATTGGGGTGGTGGACTTTTCATCCAGAGTGTTAGAGTGAATTCCTCCACTCTTGGAGAAGTTGTCAAAGTTGGGGGCCCTCCTACCTGGATGTTTTTTTCCCAGATATCAGTCAGAGTGGTGCCAGCCTATGCGGGAGCCTACTCGTAATACCCGTTCAGATTTGATGCTCTGCAATCTGGATGGGGTGTGCATGGCCCTTCTTTCTGATCAATATGGGTTTGGTATATTGTTCATGGAAGGAGGTACACTATCTCTTTGTAATTCCGAATGCAGAGTGATCCCATCTTGGTTCCTTGGTTGAGCACAGTTGTTCCACAGCCTACCCATAATTCCAGGAGCAAGTGGAAGGCTTCTTGTCCACTCGTTTGGGGAGTGAAGATGAATGTTCATAATTCTAGACCAGATGAGTTCTGTTCCTTTGGTTGAGTAAGGCATACACGGTTCTGTCATTGGGCTTCTTCGTGTGAAGTAGAAGGTTTTTATGCTTTATTATTGCTTACTTTTTCATCATGATTCTGGTGGTTTGGAAGGCATTACTCTATGGCTACAGGTTGGGATCCAATGAAAATTATATCTATATATAACATTGCAGTCCAATTGCCCTAGCCACCAACGTGGGATATAGGGACCAACACCACTAATTCCAACTCCGAGTAGTGGAACCTCGGCTAACTGGTTGGGGCTGGCCTATAGTGATGATTGCTCATGTACAGTTTCACCCTTGATACAGGAACTAAGTTCAGGGTGAAGAGCATACCTGTTATGGATCTAGTGCGGTTCCCCCATTTGGGTGACAATCTTATCTTGGATGCTTTCTGTATGGATAATGCCCTCACTGGCCCCTCCACCTTCTCAATGTGGGATTTTATCTGTAAGTGGGATTGGAAGTATATATATTCTGGAAGTTAACATTTTCCTAAATTGAAAATATATTTTCAATAATACTTACCTTCGTTGACACTCTTCCTCCCAACTAAGAGCTGGTGTTAGAGACTGGGACAGTATCAGTCTCGAAAAAGTGATAAAATTATCTGAATGAGGTGCTTATATACAGTACCAGGGTAGAGGGTGCATTGATGTAGATGGAGAGTATCACAAGACATATATGGCCAAGGGCAGTTGAGTGGGGAATAAAAGACTGGAGCAAGCGAGAAAAAATCAGACCAATGTTTAGATGGGAAAAGATGAAACCCTGGCAGTTGAACAATAGCTCAATTTTTAATTTAGGAAAATGTTAACTTTTGTTTGTAATATAAGTTAATTAAACTAAAAAGTAACTTAGGGGTATGTTCAGATTTTTTACTTGAATTGTACACTTTTCTAATCAATAGAATTTTATACAAGCCTGGTCTGATGAACTTGTATATCAATTTGTGGAATAGAAAACACAATCAAAAGTTTAAAGTTTATTGTCATTCAATAAAGTTTTAAAATAATTTATAAAGAAAAATGTATTATTAATAATTAAATTAATGGCATGTACTTTCAAGTAGCTAAATTATAGTTAAAACCCTGTTAATAAATGGTAAAATTATAGCATAGTTCGAGGACATCAATAATGCTTATGTTTATTATATATTCTCCTGAAAGGCTATACTTTGTGGCATACCCTGTACGAGTCTCTGAATGGATTTCTGGGTAATGTTTTCTCATTTCCATAACATTTTATAGTTGCTCCAATGTATTTGGTGGATGAGGTAGATGTTAAATCCTCCCCTGAGGTTTTTGTGTTTGGTGGGGAGGCAGATGTGAAATTCCCCCCCTGAAGCTAGTTCAGGTGTATTTGGTGGGTGGGATAGATGTTAAATCCTTCCCTCAAGTATGTCTACGAGTGTTTTCAGGTACATGTTAAGTCTTTCTCTGAAGTTGGTTTAGGTGTATTTTGTGGGTGAGAGGTAGATGTGGAATCCTTTCCTGAAACTAAGCCAGGTGTATTCAGTGGGTAAGGTAAATGTGGAATCCTTTCCTGAAGGTTGGCCAGATGTGATCTACAAGGTTTAGGTTCAGAGAAAATTCTGGCCAATCCCATGTTACAGTAGTTTTCTGTTCAATGTAGACAGTGACAATAGACAATATGGGCACAGTGGTGCTGAGTGTTATTGTCTATCAAAATTTAATCAGATCCAATGGCACCAGGATAATGATCTAACTGTGGTTACCTTGATATTATCCCTATAGCACAGCATTTAGAACACAGTTCCTAATAATGTACATATCATTAAATTCATTGTAGCAAATTTTCCCTCACCATCACAGAGATATCCTGATCCTTTCATGTAGTCATGCAAATTTTCTTTCAAGGGCTATCATGGAAGCCAAAGTAGACTCTGGTCTTGTCTTTAAAAAAGAACTGGTTGCCAGTGATATCATTGCTATTTGTGATGATTTTGACCCTACTGTGCATAAGCTTGTTGAAAAGTTCTTATATTGGCTAGGTACAGTCTGTGTCCATTGTTTGGAATGTGATTTGAACTCCAGTAGCTTAATGGATTTGGTGATTGTGTCTCAAAATATTGGTAAAGTTGTTGAACCTAGTTACCAAGACAGTTGTCATGGTTCTATATTGTGGGAACTTACTGTTACTTCTCAGACAGTCTTTGATACTTCATTGTCTTTTATCTTGTTCACAACTTACTTTCTGACATTCATAAGTGATGGGCCCATTTTCTCAATATTAGATTAATTCAGGAACTTGACCGGGTACATATTAAAGCATTCCAAACAGTTTGTAAGTTTATTCAAATGATACTTTGATTTCTTTCTGTATGAAGTTCACCCACAGTCTGACCTCTGTCACTAACTGACAGGTGAAACATGTACTGTATGACCTCTGTCACTAACTGACAGGTGAAACATGTACTGTACATGGACAATACTGCAATTACATGTTTTAAAAAGACTATTCTTTAGTTCAAAGGAATATTTCTTATCTTTTTAAAATTTAAAAAATTGGCAGTTGACATAAATCCTTAGAGCCTTAGTTTATTTTGTCTGGTTTATCAATGTACCATTTCTCAAAATTGTCATAATGTTGAGCCATTAATGCTACCTAACATATAGATTGTGATGTAATTAAAATTGTTCTTTTCAAGTTAAAAGGCATATGTTGTGCTAAGTCATAAAAATTTGCTAAAACGAAATTTAATTTATCTGTGAATGATACTGTAGGTAAAAAAAAACAAAAAACACATTTTGTTTATAATTTAAAAGTAATTTTCATAATACCTTCCAGAACTGTACTTTCCTTATACTTGATTTGAAGCTTTTATATTATTATCATTTATTTACTGTTGTAATAATAAGCAAATAATAAATTATTAAAAACAACTCTGGGAAAATTTAAGCCAACTGTCAAATGAGGTTAGGGTTCATACATTCCTGAAAGAACTGGGTGGGGTACTGCACTTAATGCTTCAAAGCTTATAATATGTTTATACAGTTCATAAATTAAACAAAAATACATTACGTAAGAGATCTAATTTATAATCCAATGTTTATTATATTTATTATCTGGCTTAGTGAGGTATGTGACCACTGATTTACATGAACTGAAACTAATTTACATCAAAATAATTTTAGAAGAATAATATAATTACCCATATAGTGCTTTAAAAAAGTTTATATGATTTTTTTTCAATGGACTACCAAGAATTTTACCAGTATACCTGTACTCCAACTCACCCTATAATAAACTTACCAGTGTAAAATACAAAGGTGTTATGAAAACTACATATGTACAAAGTTTACTGTTTAACAGATTCACTTACACAGTTCATGAATGATTTACTTGACAGTTTTAATATATAAATTATTGCTAGTTAATCAGTTGGAAAGGATATATCTAGTATGTTGTTTTTTCTCTGTAATAAGCTTATTGACTATAGTTTTTTGGTCCGTGTGACTTCATGTTATAAAAATTCTCAAAAGTTTATACATGTATTTCAAAGAAAATGCTAAGTCACATAAACCTTCTGACATAGAGAAAAAAATTGTTTAACTAAACATTAAGACTTCTGTAGCAAATCTTGGCTTAAAGATTAATAGGTTGAAACACAAGCAACAAAAATAGTTCCAAAAATCAGTTATATTTATTAGAAACAATAGGAACAATTAGGGAGTTACTGTACATGCACACAATCTATGTCAAAACATTTGATATTTTGTTGTTTTCAGATGTATCATGGAACTGGTCCTAGTTATGAGGTTGGCTTATCATCAACACCAGAACCACCAGAAGTTACATGTCAGTTCTTAATTCCTTTTTCATTACGATAAAGTTTAAGTTAAAGATTAACATTTTAAACTATCTTTGTTTGAAATATCAAGTTAGTGAAAACCATGAAGTTGAAGATGTAAGTTTTAAACCATCTCAAGACTTGAGTGATATACTCTGTTCCTCCACGAGACATCTAAAGCTGATTCTTCATCTCCCTTCATGAGGATATTTTGTTGCTATATTTAATGCAATTTAGTTGGTGATCATGATTAAACAGTGAAATGTGACCTCCCAATGGACTTTACTAGCCGGAGTAAGTTTATATGATGTAAACAAAGAGGAATGCAGATGTACTAACACAGTGGACTTTACTAGCCAGAGTAGGTATATATGATGTAAACAAAGAGGAATGCAGATGTACTAACACAACTTTTGAACTTGATGTATTTTTTACTTTCGTTTTTAAAAAACTTCATTCATGTGTTTGAGTTAAGCCTGTTAACAATTATTTTGAGGCAGTTTACTCTTAAATTATTATACTCCTAGTTAAAAGATATTTTCCTATGATTTCAGAATACACTAGAATAAACCTTTAATGTAGTTTTATAACTGTTAATATTATCAACAGAAGAAACATGGAAAAGTTCCTATCAGTACTAGAGTAGTTAAATTTGTTCTATTCATAATAATTTGATGAAATTGTTTTGTTTTTTTAAGTGTGTCAGTAACATTTGTATTTAATATTTTTTCTTCTTTTTTTGAAATTGTAATAAACTGAGAAACATGTTTTTGTTTCCACATGAATGAGATAATGGACATGTTATTTATGGTTTTGTTAATAATATGCAAGCAGGAATTATACAGACTTACAAATGCATATAAATTTTTGTCGGATATAATACAAAATACTTGTTTTGTTATACCTTAAGTTGCAAACCATTAACATCATATTATATACAAGTTACAGTTTTTACAGTAAGTAAGATTTGTTTTTAGAACAGGTACGTTTCAATTACTGGTGCAATCATTCTCAAGTACACTAGTGATAGAAAAAACAAAATATTACTGTAAAAAGCTGGAACTTGTATATAATATAATTAATCAGTAAGTAAACTCAAAATAAAACCATTAAGGTTACAGATTTCAAGATATATATTTAAAGACTCGTGACAATGAAAACCTGACAAAGAAATTCACATCTTACTTATTTTACTGTACAGCTTGTTTGTAGACATTGCTTCAAATTCTGTACTGCAACATTCACAATAAAACTGTACAAATATCATGAAAAAGCAATAAGACATTAAAATATGGAACCACAAAGTCAAGGTAAGAAATGAGGAAATCAAGACATTTTTCTAGCATCATTCAATAAAGCATGAATATAATAAAACTAATATAAATAGTTGCATAAGGATGACACACTTCTACCTGTTACCAACCTTCATCAACTTATCAAAAGTTCTAGATGGAACCCTGAGAGGTGTAGTATTTTTTGGCTAATGCTGGACTAATTAAAAAATTACATGCCAGGAGGTGCATCAACTTATCAAAAGTTCTAGATGGAACCCTGAGAGGTGTAGTATTTTTTGGCTAATGCTGGACTAATTAAAAAATTACATGCCAGGAGGTGCAAAGTGTCATTGGTACCAAAAGATATACATACTGATAATATATATTTTTTCTTTCTCTTTTATCTATTAAGTGATTATGCCAACCCTCAAGGGGTCTCAGAACATGGTCCCCCAGGTAATTTTAATGGTCTGAGGTGCAATTTTGCATATTTCTGATATTGATTTAATAAACATATATGTCTGATTTCAGTCTGCCTTTGAAATTACTATTTAATTTCATCACGGTCAGAATACCATTTGGTACCATCAATGTTGAAGCACCTTCGTTCAATGTAACGATTAGCAACAATGCTTGTAAACATTACACGAGCAAATAACAGTCAGGAAGAACAGAGTACTTTTATTAAATGGTAAAGGATAAACATATTTTGGTTATAGTGAAATTAATTTCATAACTTTGCCCATCTTGCCATATGTTTGTTCAAATTTTTGACCATCTTCATAAGACAACTTCTATCTAAATAATAATAATAAAAAAAAGACTGGTGGATGGGTCACTGGTTAAAAACCTGTACCATACGGGTTTGTGTACTTGAACTAATTAATTAAATGAATCTAAAAGTAAAATGCTAAAATAATTTTAATTCTTCTTGTATTAAATTTAATTAGATAAGTATGATATGCAGAACACCTTGTTAATGAAAATAATAGAACTGATGAAACAGCAAAAAATGACTTCCTAACTTATTATTTTTGTCAGTATTTAAGAACATATTTTACTAATATTTATAGTATATGGACATCTCACTATTACTGGAAGGTACGAATGAAATGAGATGGTGAACTTATTCAACTGTAATTGTCCTTAACAATTAAATGTTGACCATTAATCTTTGTTTTACAAGTACTAGTATTTGTTCATAATGCTCATTGAGCAACAAACAACCATTCTTAATTGGCATATCTACTGACTATTTGTTGAACAGATTGTATATTAAAAATAAATATTAGCATCAGGACAATATCTTCAGAGTTAAACACTTTAGTGCTCAGTACTATTGTGGCATTGCTTTCTTTGTCAGTTGGATTCAACAAAACCTATGCTTCCTTTCTTTCATCAAGTGTTCAGTAAATTGCTGAAGTACTTTGTTAGACCAACTATTGTAGAATCTGCTTTTTCTTAGAAGTTTGCTTGAAAATATTAACAGGATTATTAATTAAACTCAAACTGGGACAGCCTTGTGTAGAGAACTTAATAAAAACTCAATGTTCAAATTTATACAATACCATATTAAAGGCACAAGGTCTTGCTTAACAACTTCTACATGTTTCAAACTGGACCAGGTAAGGCTTGGTGCCTTTTAATGACATTTTGAAAGTATTATTAAATTTTAGCACTGTCTTACTGAGTTTTTAATAAGGATTATTAGTGTAAAAAAAAAAGTATGACTTTTTTTTTTTCTTGTTACCAGATTATTTTACATATGCAATAAAAGAATAAGTTACATTTAAGTTCTAGGATTTGGTATATTTAATCATAGTAAGGTTAATAGATAAAGAACAAGTTTAAAATTAGGTCAGATGTAATGGGGGGAAAAAAAATATTTAAGATGAGTTATAAAGACCCAGAAGTTCCTGTCAAAGTGTAAATTACTTTAAAATCAAATAAAAATAAACATTACAGTAAATAAATAGTGTCAATTGAAATATATATATATATATATATATATACAAATTTTGAACAATAAAATTATTTAAAAGGTTTTATTCGAAGTACTGTCAAGAATACTGAAATATTGAAAAGTAGTGTGATATTTCTATGTTATTGTAATATTATTGTGTTTATTATGTTCTGTATATGTGTAGGTTTCACGTAACATGTTCAAGAAAGTAGTTAAGTTGATTTAATTGTAAAGCTTCCTTTATTGTTCTTGGAATGGATAATATCTCTTACCACCCAAGGGGATATTGCTCAATATGACATGTTGTGTAAGTTTCCTTCACGGTTTGTTCAGTTAATATCTAGAGGTTATGGCCCCATCTACGGCAATATTCCCCAGTTTGCAAGAAACATCACATTTACCAAGGGCAATTTATTCTCTTAACAAATGATTCCCATGGGTCAGAGAAACTGTATAAAATCACTGAATTTTACATTTTATGTTCATGGCCCTCGAAACATCAGATAACTTCATTTTACAGAAGAAAAAAAAATGGTATAATTCAGTGAAGTTCATGTGACTAAATGATATTTCTAGGACAAAGTGAATGAGAAAAAAATTATCCTCAGCACTAAAAATTTATATACAAGTTCATTATGTTGCACTCAGCACTTCACTATGCATAAACATTGTTTTATCTACATCATCCTTTTTGTTTACCAATAACTGTCATGGAGTACAAAGGTAGCCATAATAGATTACATGAATAATAGCTTGGTTCAGGAAAGAAAATGGGTTTTAGGAACTAGGTACATGCTGAATTTTATTTTTCTGAAATTCAGAAACTTGGTACAAATGTATAAAACCCAATCTTGATACAAATTGTTTAAAATTTTCTGACACATTTCCCGTTTTTTTTTTTTGTAATTTCAGTTTGTATTTTAATTCTAATCTTGAAACTTCAATGAACCTTAAGCAATTACTTTTCTATGAATGTTTGATAAAACTATTTTACTAATACTGGTCTGCTGCTTCTAACATGTTGCTTTTATTAACTTCTGCATTATCAGAATTTACATAACATACAGGTGCTTGATCCAGCTGTAGATATAATCTACAAATACGAAAAAACATTTTGAAGAAAAAGATAATTTCAAGACAGGTTGATTATAGCTTTCCAACCTGTATTTTATTTAATAGTAGTACAAGAAAACTTAATATTCATAATACTGATAACTTTTATATGCAAACTATTCAATAAACTAACTAAAACCTTTGACATCAAACATAATAAAAAAAAAACATTTAAGTCTATTTTTTTTTTGGTCAATTTGACTGATGTAGAAGATTTACCAATGTTATAATTTATTAGTAAGTTTTCATCCAAATGTCGGCTATCAATGTTTCATGTCCTGGAGTATCATTATTTTAAAGCAAATAATGCAAAATTGTTGAAATATATATTCTTCATGGGAGAAATCATAAAAGATGATTTTTTTTTATCATTAATTCCAGATAAAAGCCAGCTAATTACACAAATTTGATATCGAATTACTGACCCAATGTTTTTCAGTGTTTGGTGAGAAGAATGACAATTTTCAAAAATCCCAATTTACTAAGTACGTCATCACTTTTGTAACAAAATAAGTAAAGGTAATGATAACACCTGGATTAATAGTTAAAAATGCAGAAGTTTGAGGTGAATAAACAATATATTCACGACAAATATATTTTGAGCAACAAACTCCATTTATTTCACTATATGATTTGTACAAATTGACTACATGTATACTTTTTTTTTTATCTCTAATCTTCTTTAGAATGATTCCACGGTGTGTCATAGTTCTCAATGACCATATTCTTGAAACGCCGTAGTACCACACTCATCTTCTCTGTTTCACCTCTACTTTCTATTCTTTGTACTATCACACGGCTGATGTCAAGAAAATTCTCATTTTTTGAGTTTATTCCTTTGATCAAATCAATCTCATTTCCAACTTGCACCTACAAATGTAACAGATTGCCAACTATTAAGGTTACAAAGGTGTTACTTTGTCAATTTTAACATAAGTAAAATTTCACACATGTGAACAAGCAGAATAAACACTTTAGCTTTACTCCTGGTATAATCTAATTGTAAAATTTTAATGTGACAAGCCAATTATTTAAAATTATTACAAAAATGTCCTTGAAACCAAAGAAATAATAGTTCAGATGGTTTGCTGTTGCCTTGCTTAACAATTACAGTTTATTGTACAATATACCCAGATCAATAGAAAGCGAGCAAAAAACCATTTGCATGGCAAGCCATTAGGCACAAAATAATAGTTCAGATGGTTTGCTGTTGCCTTGCTTAACAGATACAGTTTATTGTACAATATACCCAGATCAATAGAAAGTGAGCAACAACTATTTGCATGGCAAGCCATTAGGCACAAAATAATAGTTCAGATGGTTTGCTGTTGCCTTGCTTAACAGATACAGTTTATTGTACAATATACCCAGATCAATAGAAAGTGAGCAACAACTATTTGCATGGCAAGCCATTAGGCACAAAATAATAGTTCAAAAAGACAACATAGCAAACTATGAGGTATAGGAATGTTAGTCCAAAAAAGTCATATGACTATCAGTAGGTTTTGGAAATGTTTGATCTAAGAGGCCACACGAATAATTATTAGTCTTGGTCATGACAGCCCAAAAGGTAATGAGGTAATCCTAGCAATGTTCAGCTAAGTATATCAAATGTATACATCTCTTATGGAAAAACCTTAGGTCATGAATGTAACAAAGATCTTTGTCTCAGAAATAAGTTTCCATTATTACTTCTCCCAACTCAAGGTTATTTGACATTTTTTTTTAAGGTAATAGAATAAGTCTAGACATCATATCAATTTTATTATCAAATAAAAAACATATAATCAATTCACATCAAAATTTTGTTTGTAACATTAGAGAAAGATAAAACTATTCAGTTCAATATCTGAACACACACACATTTTTTTTTTAAATGCATATAATTTGGTTAGAATTAAAGCTTATAAAATTGAGTTTTGGTAAACTAAAAGTATGGGCATTTAAATGCACAAAAAATCAAAAATGAACACACACAAGTGAATTTGAATGCAGCAACAATGATATAGCTTTGCATGTGTATATTCAAAATTGACATACTAATTTCATTCTACACATAGCTAAATTTTACACCTCGAAATATTAACAGCATTCTTTTCTACAAACATTAAATGAAATGTAATACTCTGTTGCTAATATTTTTGTTTAACTTGGATGTAGTGTGAAAGAGATAACTCAAACGAGATCATAACACTTAACCCATCAAACTGAGTTGGTGTAGGTACCAAGATAAAATGTTCTGAATCCTGCTAACCTCTGTCTTTGCTAAAAAATTTGTATCAAGGAAGAAATTAGTAATTTGTGCGTATAACAGTTCTGGACTCTTGGAAATCCGGAACTATTTTTGCACTTTTTGAGTCCTAAATCAAACTTTGTTTCTAGGATTTTAATGGCAGATTCGTCTCTTCATGTTTTTTCAGGAATGAAGCACTGTAGTTGCAGACATGTTACTAATTTCACATCATTTTATTTTTATTCTTTCTCTCAATTCAACCAATCAGTGCACGTGTTTAGACTCAGATGGGACCAAAGGCAGTTAGTTCAGGCATTACTATCAAGTGGATGTGGATATCACGTGAAAGTAAATAAGTATACACTGGTGCCTCGATTATCCACACTGGTCAAGGGAAAGTAGCAAATCGCAGATAACAGAAACAGTGAATAATTGAGACACTAGTGTATTTCACTGTTAGTACACTGTTTAATCGAAATACAATTTTTCAATATATTTAAGTTCCTTGTTTTAAATTATAATCTTTTTACTGTTGTTAAGTTGTCATAATCATAAAAGCCAAATGTCAGTCAGTCACACTCGATTTCTCTGAATTTTGTGAGTTACACAAGTCCAATTTTGTGAGCTACACAAGTCCAATTTTGTGAGTTATACAAGTACAATTTTGTGAGCTACACAAGTCCAATTCCTCTTTTGATTGCCCTTTCCCATTTGAGTTGAATTTAATCGCTAACATCACTCAGTTCTAATAATTAATATATGCAATAGCACAGCCTTTGTTTGAAAAATTACTGATCATATCTGAAAAATGCAGACAAAATATCAAAAATTCTAGATTTTGAATAAGAATTTTCCATATGGAAATACAGATGAAGTATTTTGGTTAAGTAATGCAATGATAATGACAAACTACAGTAAACAGTATTAAGGACAGCCACAGCTTAAGTATGAAAAATTAAACACACTTAATCACCATTTAGACCTTTGCATCTTGGTGTGACCATGTGTACTGAAATGAAAAAAAAAACAGGGTTTCCAAACTATGAATAGTTTCCTTTTCAATTTTATCCGAGTCAGTCACATTCAATAAAACTTAATCATGTAAACATAAGTATTTAAAATAAATAGTATACTTACTTTTTTATATTCACTTTAGTTTTATCTGATCTATGATACTGGACAAACTATCATAATGTATCAGTACATCAACTAATTATTACAGTAATGGCTGGAGATGGCTTGAATGGGTAATGAAGAAAAACTTTAATATAACA